GCCTTGATCTTGATAATTTACCATCCTCGGTCAAAGAAATGCCAATGCATGTGTAGCTGAAAGTACAAAAATCTTTTCTTCTAACAATGTCATTTGACCAACATAGGCCAAGTTTATGCAAAGTGAGCTGCATATCCAGTTTGCATAATGATTAAGGCTGTGATTTTTTTTTTTAACTTGCATAGCAAGTTGATGTTTAAACCTTAACTGAGGATCTTAGTTGGAAATCCACAGGTACTGTTTGAATCCTTGGTTTGTTAATTGGAAAAGAAGGAATATACCTTTTGAGCAGGGGTTGCACAGTGGTTGGAATGCAGTATTGCAACTAACTCACTGCTTACTGTGAGAAGTTCGATTCTCACCAGGTCAAGGTTGACTTAACCTTCCATCCTTCCAAGGTCGGTAAAATGAGGGCCCACATTATTGGGGGCAATATGCTGACTGTAAACCGTTTAGAGAGGGCTGTAAAGCACTATGAAGTGGTATATAAATCTAAGTGCTATTGCTATATTGGTCATGCTATCTTGTCATTTATCCACTGAATTCCTTTCTATTGTATAGAATAAATCCAAATTTTTCATGAAGCATGATAAGGCTGTAATTCTGTGGTCAAATCTCTGCTTTGCATGCTGAAGGAACTAGGTTTACTTTCAAACCCTGAGGAGCAGCTGCCAATCATTGTAGTTACATTTCAGTTAAAGAGATGAATAGCCTGACTTGTATACGTCACCTTCAGAATACGGAGGGTGTAGCAATTCAGAGTTACCAAATTTAGAAAAAAGTAAAAAAAATATCCAGTACATTTTTAAGTGTGATGGAATGGCGTACAATACAAGATACCAGAACACTTAAAGAAAAATGGACAGGTGTGCTCTAGTTATATGTGTTGTATGTTTAGGTTACATTCACATCACACACTATAGCTTCTTCTCACAATTGCTGTGGACGTTATGGTAGAAGCATACCCTTTGATTTTTGGAAGTCCTGATTCAAAGAACTGATTGTTCTATAGCCTGTAGAGATTCTCAGCCATCCAGGTCATGCTTGTCCCAAAGGTGCTTTTTCAGGAAGCAACTGGACTTCCTTATTTTTTCTTTGAAGACGTTTTGCTTCTCATCCAAGTAGCTTCTTCAGCTCTGATAGTGGGGGGCATTCCCCACTATCCTGTCAGAGCTGAAGAAGCTTCTTGGATGAGAAGCAAAATGTCTTCAAAGAAAAAGACAAGAAAGTCCTCATGAAAAAGCACCTTTTGGAGGATTGTTCTACCATAGGGGTGTCAAACTCGATTTCATTGAGAGCCACATCAGGGTTGTGTTTGACCTTGGGGGACCAGATGGGCGTGGACAGGGTGGGCATGGCCAGCTCGATGCCACTCATGTCAGGGACACCTGTGATGGCCTAAGTGCTCTGCCAGAGAAAACGGGCTCTTGAGCTCCGTTTTCATCTGTGATGGCCTCCTGCAACCCTCTGCTGCATGCAACCCTCCTGATCTCCATTTTCTCTGACAGAGGCACTACGAGCCGGTCCTTTACTGTTTCTAGGGTGACCCCATGGGCAAATCTAAGCACCCCACCAGGCAGATCCAGTCCCTGGGCCTTCAGTTTGACATCCCTGTTCTATAAGATCCCATTCTGTAATCCGACATGGTTTCAGATAATTACATTTCTCTGTATGAACACCTTAACATATCCTATTCAGATGCTTCTCCAATGGTTGGATATTTCAGCTGTTTGAAGGTGGGGGGGAACCGATACTGAAAACAATAGGATGTATACATTGGGGCAAGCAATCTGAAACTTTCTAAAAGTTTTATTTATTTATTTAGAACACTTGTAGAGCTACCATTCTTAAAACCAAGATGTGAGCAACTTACAATCCACAGATATGCAGCAACGAAAACAAAAGAAACAATAAAATCAATAAAATAAAAATTTAAAAAGCAGGCACTACAATCACCTTTCCTCAATACATCCCAATGTTCTTTTCCAAATCTAACTTTACCCCATCCAAACATGTTGCAGAAGGGCAGCTCTTCTCAGACCTAAAAGAGAGGGGATATGTTGGATCTCCTGGATAGACCGTTCCATAGGACAAAAGTTGCAGTGGAGAAGGCATAGTTCCAAGGACCCACAAAATGGCAGTGTTTTAAGGAAAGGGAACTGGGGCATGAATCTGGAGGTTAACCTCCATTATCTTCAGGCACAACATAGCCAATAACCAGGGCTCATTTTCTTACACCATTCTTTCCATTATATGCAATTGCCTAACCATTGTGACTATAATTTTAAGTAGATGTGATTTCACGTTAAATTGTTTTGATACCTTTTTGTTGTCTGGTGGGGTTTTGTGACTAGTCCTTTTACTGTTCCCGATTCTGTCATTAAAAATTCAGATCCTGAAATTTAGTCGTTTGTGATTTATTTGTGTGTTTGTTTATGCAGTTCTATGTTTTCACTCCATTAATCTTAAACTGGTACTCAGTGATACCTTAAAAAGTAACTAATTTATTGGAATATTCATTTTCATAGGTCAGATATTCCACTTCATCAAACATCAGTTGCTGGTATTGAGTATGATGAAGTAGCCTTTAGTCTATGAAAGCTTGTTAGTTTATAAAAGCCTTTTTCAATTTGATGCTCTCCAGATGTCTTTGATTATATCTCTATCATTTGAAGCCATAGCAAGGATGACTGTCATTCTGGCTGAGGACAATAAGAATTGAAGTCCAATATAGCTGAAAAAGATTGCAAAGGATGGGCTATGAGATATAAAAGCTCTTATTTCTTGTTTATGCTACAGTAAGCTAATATGGTCTTTGGAATCTGTCAAAATTAATTTAGTATTATTTTTTCCCCCAATTGAAATAGCAATCTTCCTCTACAGAATACTTAACTCTCTTTCTCTTGGCTTAACCTTGCAAACACCCTCTAAATTAGATCATTTATTGTTTTCTTTTTAATAAGCCAAAGATCATACAATTAACTTGTTCTATTGATTGTGGTGGGAGTGAAAATTCATTTAGACTGGGCCACTGAGTTTATTACTGAGCCTTATTTGTGGTCCATTCAGCCATCCTGATTTAAACTGGTGTGTGCCATCAATTCAGTGGCCACGGTTACATTTATTCAGGTATTAATGAAGGGCACCATAAATGATAATTTCTTATGACAATTATACCTTTATTGTAGAACATTTAAAGAAAATAAATAACTATACAAAGAAGAAAATGTGAAGGGCATTGTGAGTGGGGAAAAAAACAGTAAATAAATAGAATTTACAACTGTCTTAAAATTATTATTGCATTGGTTAGATATTTGAATATATACAACCAAACTTAAAAATAAACTTTAAGGTGAATTTAGATATATGCTTCTTTGATTTTTCATTTTGTTTCTTCCTAGTGTACTAGCACTGTTTATTGTACAAAAGTAGTATTTCTAACAATTTCTAAGAAAATGTATTATGTTGTAAATGTTTATCACAACTTATGACAATAATATGTAGGGCTCTGTGTTAAAGTACCAGATTCAGTTTTTTTTTTTAAAAAAACATATTACTATAAGTGTCAGATAAATTTTCATAGTGCCTGTTCCAGATTTTATTCCAAATGAATATGTGTCGGCTCACCATCATTGGAATTATATCAGTAAGGAATTGACTTGAATAGTCTTGGAACTGAACACTTGAATTGGCTTCTATATAAAAGTTATTGAAGACATTAGAATTAATTATAACAGTACAGGTAGTCTTGGACTTACGACCATTTGTTTAGTGACTGTTCAAAGTTGTGATGTTGCTGCCAGCATCCCATAGACACATGATCATAATTCAGGCGCTTGTAGGCACCAGGTTGTAGCATTTCAGGGTCATGCAATTTCCATTTGCTGTCTTTGCAGGAGACTTCTGACATGCAAAGTCAATGGGGGGAAATTGGGTTCACTTAACAACCGTGGCAAAAAGTGTCATAAAATTGAGTGACTCATTTAACAATTGCATTGCTTAGCAATGGAAATTCCAGTTCCAATTTTGGTCGTAAGTTGAGGGCTATTTATTAGGAGTTACAATTAAAAAAAAAAAATCCCTCCTTGACTCCATCTTCATATTCCTCTAAATCATCTCTAATTTAGCAGTCTTCTTCTTTAGTTTTTATTTCATGTTACTCTGAAGCTGGTGATACATGCTGTACAGTTAACAAATAGAAATGAGCTGATTGAGTATAATTTGTATTCATTGTTAAATTTAGTAACTGTACTGAGATTTGAATTACGCTAATCAACTTTTCTTGTAATTTGTATAATTTACATACTGTACACACACTGCAAATGCATGACTCTGGTGCAAAACAAAGTTTAATTAGTGTAACAGGGTTGCATCTGCTTCTAAAGTGATTGATTTTTCAAAGTAGTTATGGCAATTGCAAGGGGGATCTTGGAACTAAACCATAATGGTAAGGGAAGCAATTTTTGCGGAAGCTTTCTTTCATTTGCCCCATTGAAACAAATAGGAAGTGGTTATATTGCTATGATTTTCATAGATCTTTTTACATTGGCCAGTTTTACGCACTATAATTTTCTAGTGACCTGTGAACAAAATTAGAAATAAAACCACCATGAAAAAAACCTTTGACTTTGGTTTAACTCTTAGAAGAAATGTGGATTTCAGCAGTATGTAATTTTGATATATATTATTTGCATAGTGATCTGTTTGATTAAGATATTCTGTTCCATTCTGTTTAAGAAATTTACATGAAAATTAGATGTTTAGAATATTACCATAAAATGATTGTACAATAAAGTTACTAGTTCTTAGTTATTTAAAACTACTAAAAAGAAATGTACTCTGGGGGAATGTAATAATGGTTGACAGAGTTTGTATGCTTATTCTTTTTCTTTTCTGATGGATAGAATTTTTTATTAAGTGTGTAAAAGTAGATGCATCTAATGACATCAGCAATATAATTTCATAGCACCGACACTCAGTTCTTGCTTTTTTTTAAATAGGTGAAGAAAAACACCAAGGTTGATCAATTTGATTCAACTTGCATAACTTTACTATGCAGTTTACATGGTTAAACTTGGATCCTCTCATGCTTAAAACCCCACTGTGACTGTTTGTAAGTATTTGTATATTTTACTTTAAAATATAAATGTGGCTCAGGAGAAAGGAAGGAAGTGTATTTTCATAGCAATTATTTTAGAGATATTAATCATAATTAGCCCAAATAAATGCTTAATTTTCAGTAATGAGGGTATGATTAATATGGGTGTGATATTTTATAGTAGGGATTCTCCAATTTTATAATAGTAACTTTAGGAAAGTTATACCACTGTAATTGAGAGCATAATACAATTCCTACTGCTTACTATTGTGACAGATTTATGTAGATCAACTATTATGTGAAAGGAATCTAAGTGAACAATAATAGCAAAGTTTGGGAATTGTGTCATTTGTTTCATATACTAGGTTATCTGGCATTTAACTTGAAATCACTGCCTTCCTCGCCACCAGTGCAAATACACCAATTGGATGGATAACTGGAGAACTTCATTGGACTTAAACCAACTTTTTCCTATATAAATCTGACAAACATAGGCTCCCTTCACTATGTTACATAAATGAAGATTCTAGAGCACACTATCCCCAATTCAGAAGAAAATTCTTAAGGCCTTACAATAAAAGTAGTTGATGCCCATAAGCTCAGAAGAAATGATGCTATCATTTCTAAAACTGATATTTTATCAGCCCACAGAGTCATACATCTTTCAATGATTTGCACTGTAGTGCAAACTTGTCTAGGAAGTCACAAAGAACTTCAGAACAGGATCTAGGTATTTCCAGTTCTCTTTCAAATGTACTCAGTGTTTACGGCTGCGTTATCAGAAAAGCAGTGAATGTCATGTGTCAGTAGAAAGAAGCTATTGTTCATCAAAAAAAGTCCATGTTCATCTTATGTTTTCTTAAAAGCACCTTGATGACCTGGATGTTTAGAAAAATGGTATTTAGGTCCATAAGTCAAAAAGTGAAATTTATCAGGCATTAGTAGCTGTGGTGGCACAGTGGTTAGAATGCAGTATTGCAGGAAATTTCTGGCCGCTGTCAGGAGTTTGATCGTGACCAGCTAAAGGTTGACTCTGAGGTTGGTAAAATGAGGAGCCAGAATGTTGGGAGCAATATGCTGATATTGTAAATCACTCAGAAAGTGCTTTAAAGCACTATAGAACAATATATAAATCTAAGTGCTATGCGTATTATATCTAGCAGGGGAAAAAAAACCTAATAAGAACTTCATATTGTCATGGTTTAGACATTCTTTCTTGTCTTAAGATCTGCAAAACTTAATCATTGAAGGAAATAATAACTCTGTTTCTAACAGTGAATTCTGTAGAACATCAGTTGTCTGAAACATATAACAGAATGAATGAAGGACAAAATTTAACATTTTAGAATATACTCTTAAGTTAAGATTTAACTTTAACTCTATGAAGTTACCTTAACGCCATAGAAATGTTACATTAAGACCTGAAATTATCAGTTGAAACTGGTGACCAAGAACAGATAGTGTTTGGTTCTGTCATAGCCTTTGACTTATGGCTACAATTAGAACTGAATTGCTGGTTATAAGACACTACAGTTATAAGTCGAGGCACCCATGTGAGTGGATCTGATATTGCTACCTTTTATGTGGTGATCATTTAATGAATACTTGTGATCATTAAGTCAAGTCACATTCATGTTAAATGAAAACACTGGTCATAAGTCCAAATCCATTATCCAGAATAGGCATTTTCTGTGGAAATTGGCAAAAAATGCCAGATCCCCCTCCAAATGTCACCAGTTGCAGTGACCATGTGACCACGAAATGCTGGAACTGGTTATAAAAGTGAGCCGTTACCAATCATCTGAAGTGAGGTCATGTGACTGTGGGGGATGGATATGGCACATCTTGACAGTCAAAAATGCTTTATTGGCATAAGGTACCTTTTCTGGGCCCTGTTGTAATTTTAAACAGTCATTATGCTCCTGGTTATAAGTCAGGGACTACTTGTTGTAATTGTACTCGTGAGGGAGGGGAGTTTATTTTTCATACTAGCTAATGGTATACTGAATGCTTGTATGAACTAAATAAAATCATAGCAAGACTTTAATGGTGTTTGTCTACTTAGGGTCCCTTTATATCCAAGTAGCATCCACATTCAGCTCTGACATATTTGCCATATGCTAAATAAATCTGCTCTGACAATATTCAGTGGCAAAGAAGGAATTTCAAACATCCACAAAGAGACAGATAGATTTTCAGAGAATGAACCTTGACTTATACTGTTTCAAACCAGATCCCAGAGGCTAATACTTCAAAGGTAAAGGGACTACAGTAATTAAATATATTAAATTGTTCTAAAAATCCCAGAAGAAACAAGCCCAGAGTGGTGGATTATGGTTTCTTCCATAGCAGTTATTGTGATTGGCATTCTACTGCTTGCCCCATAAGGTCCATGATCTCAGAAAATTGTTGGAAGTCATAATTTAAGAGTTTTGGAAACATAATCCATACATCCTTCTGAAATCATGGTTTTATTAAAATCTAGCTACTGATTGATTTACATCTAAAGTAATATGTAGCATAATAAACAGTAGCTGTGTGCCACTTTCAGGATATATTATCACATATGCTATCTATCAACAACTATTTTGGTGTTCTTCTGGACTAAAGGAAGACTACACGTTTAGCATTCAACTTCCCACTTGCCAGGAAGTGCACTGTATTCGTTTCTTAGTTTCACCCTCAATATTTCCTAGTTGACTGGCTAATGTGATGTAAATGAAAGAAAATAAATCTTTGAAATTGAATGTTAAATTATATTTTGTAAGTCTTTATGATACATTATTGCAGTTAATTTTTTAAACTTTTTAATGATACATAGAAATTATTACAATGAGATCCAGAAAAAATAGCAAGTTTTTAAATTCCAGTAAAATTTTATATTGGGTGTCTGCAGTTATTCGCCATATATTGTTTATTTCAGATCATAGATAATATATTTTATTGTTACATGTATTAGATATTAAACACATATATATTTAGCATTTCTACTAAAATATTCAACATTTGAATACTGTAATTAGACTAGTTCATATCATATGTTGGCTATCATTTATTAATATGATCCCTAAAAGCGATCAATTTCTCCATTAGAAAAAAACAAGGGTATCAGTAAAAAGACAGGCTTTGAAGGTGTCTTACCATAATTAATGAGAATTTTAGTTACGGGGTTTTGATTTCTTTAATTTTTGCCATATTATAAAAATAGATACTTTCTAGGTAAATTAATCCTTTCAAGGAGCAAAATAATTTCCTTTTTGGAAAGGCTTATTAAAGTCTTATTCTTTCTAATCTTAAAATACTACTTCTGTTAGGTTAACAATATGTGAAGAAATTACATGATTTTAAAAGAAGAATGATTCCAACCCAAACCATGTACTTTACAATTAGATCATGGAAATGAAGGCTTTCAATTGGGGAAAATGAAATTTAAATTCCCATGACATGTCTGAAATTTAGGTTTTTATTTTACTTTCTTTTTTTTGATCAATTAGATTGTTCCTACTTAAACAGGTGGTTTTGAAGGCTGGTTTCACTGTTGTTTTAATCATAGTTTAGTTACCATGGAGAAATATGCAAGTTAGCATATACACAGAAGTGAAATTTATGCTGCATAGATAATAGCCTAAATTTAGCATGACTTAAGTTTACCACTTCCTTTAAGAGAAAGAGAGAGAGAGAGAGAGAGAGAGAGAGAGAGAGAGAGAGAGAGAGA